TTAAGACTGAACTCCAAATATTAAATAAATAAAAGTCCAAAAGAATGATTCCCAAAATAATAAAATGCCAAAGAGATGTAATACGTTGAGAGTAAAACCGGGAATAGGAATAAAAGCGGGAATACTCTTTTCAGATCAAAACAGGGTATTTTGTGCTCAGTGGGTATCCATGGTGCCAGATATAAAAATGTATTTCATTGGCTAATTCACCATCACTAACCACCTACGCTTTGTCCGTAGATCTGTCCGTTGACCTATGAACCCCAACATGGCACCACCCTCGAATGTAGGTAAATACATGTTACTAATATTTATGGGCTCAGTCCCCATCTCTGCACCACAGGAGTTCTAGCCTTAAGCTCTTTTACTTACTTACTTCAAAGTTCCCAATTTTATTGTTCTGAGTCAAAACTCTTAATGATACCATTGTATTTCCGTTCAAATTTTATTACTTACTATCGATGGGCTTGATTGGTCTATTCGGATCAATTTCATTACAAAATGATCTACCAAATTATAGTGCATTTGAACAACAACAAAATCCAATTTGTTTTGACAAGATAATAATTGTTTACAAAATTAAAGTCCTTTTTTCCAATTATAAAGTCACCAAATCTGCGTCACTAATAATATCCATTCTGATTTAATAAACCTTTATCTCATTTTATTTCAACTGCTAAAAACTAAAAATGATTATGTTATTAATATGGTCTAAGTTTAAAATGTTCACACAATATGTCTGTGCTAAACCCTATAGGTTTACAATACATTATACTTAGAAGTGACTAATAAGTTACTCGTTAGGATTTTATATGCAAATGAGCTGCTTGGCCTATAAGTGACTTATAAGCCAGTATTAGCCACTTATGCTTTATGCAAGTATAGTCACTTATAAGTGACTATAAGTGACTTATCAGTCAAGCATTAACCGTTCATACTTTATCAAGTATGAGTCATCTATAAGTCACTTATAAGTGAAGTACAACACTACCTGTAAGATCTTAATCTGGAACAGTCTCCTTCCAATCATGCATGGGTTGCATGATATTTTCAAAGCTGTTTTTTACATATGCATATGCATCTGCACTTTAGATGAAATAATCAAGTTAAAATTTTATGTAAAAAATCCCTTTCATATGACATTTCTTTGATTATGCAAACTTTACATATTAATTCAGTTTACAACAAGAATGTTGGACAAAAAGGCAACAAGATTTAATGACCTTGAGGCTTCTTCAAATTTATGAAATCTGAAAGCAACTGAGTCAATTGAATCAAAATATCAGGCAAATGAAGTTAGAATAAAAAGATGATGTAAATAGAACCTACTTGTTGTACCTGATGTGAAGACTACTCAAAATAAATCTGAAATCTCCGACCAACAACATCCTCTCAGAGACATGAGTAACTTGGTTTCAAATTCATGTTGCTCATCTCTGCAGAGACAAACTTTCTCATTGGTTAGCTTGAATACCCATAATGCTCCTTGAGAGAAGTCTAGTTTAGGGTAAAAATTCTAAGTCCACACTTATTCTGGCTAATACCATACTGATCTTCACTTATAAGTAAGGTATAAGTGAAATATTCACTGATATGTAGCTCATCTTCACTTATAAATAAAGTTTTAACAAAATCTGTTCCTCACTAATACTTACTTTCACTTATAGTACATTTATAAGTAAATTTCAAAATTTATAAGTGACTTATAAATTGCTAATAAGTGGATTATAAAACACTTATAAGTTTCTATTAGTTTTTTCTGTAAGGGTTGATATAAATATTATCTGAGTTAGCCTGAGTTATAGTTATGAGGATTTAACAGAATTGTACAAGACACAGACTCTTTTATTTGAGAAAGTATTTTTCTGTAGCCGTCTGAAGTATACAGCTGTTGTGTTACCCATCATGGCCTAACATTCTGACTTTGAAGGTGAACATTGTACCAGGCATTAAGTGTCTGTTGTAATATAGTAATCAGCCATACCCCTGGCTTTATTGTCTGTTGTAATATAGTAATCAGCCATACCCCTGGCTTTATTGTCTGTTGTAATATATTAATCTTCTGTCAACAATGGAGGTGCTGGAAATTAATTGCTTGATCACAGAGGTGATAGATTCAGTCTGTCTTGTTAGGTAGTACAATAACTACAATAATGTAGTCCTCTCCCTCCCCCCCTCCTTTTTTTTTGGGGGGGGGGGGCTATCAGATTTAAAAGATCGGAGAGGGCTACATTATTGCAGCTAGGTGTACAAGTGAATGTATAGAGGTTCTCCTAGCAAATTGTATCCTCTGACAGTCAAATTAGATTTTGTTATGGTTTGTCTTCAATTAAATGTTTAACCATGTTAACATTTAAAAAATATTTTCACACTTATGGAAATGTCACCACTTTCCAAAAGTCAGAGTGCAGCAAATTTAGACCTATATACTTTACACTCAGGGCCAGTGAAGGATCTCATTTGTTTGTTGTTTAACATCCCTCTCAAGAATTTTTCACTCATATGAAGACACCGTCCACCACTCATCGGTGGAGAACAGCAATTTTGTTCTACTAGGCACTTACAGCAGTGAGGGATCTTTTTCATGCCAACACCTACTGTGACACGGGACCTCGGTTTATATGATCTAACATGGCATCGCCACATGATGGGATTCAAACCCGCTAATCAACGTCCTTACTAGTTGCGACTCTTTAGCAGACACTCTAACCACTGCACCTGGGATGTCGTTTGTGCCAGTACCTAAAGCAACATGGGACCTAATGGTTTATACAGTCTCATCCTAAGGATTTGCTTACATGTCCAGCAACGAGATTCAAATCAGCGATCAGCTCATTACGCAGCATCTCTGGAGCAAACACTAACCTGTTAACCAGTGTAACAATTTAGATTTGGTCACTCAACTCTGTATGAATCTATTATACCTAATTTGCATGGATAAATCCAGATTTTGATCTCAATATTACATGCAGGAAACACCCTTTCTCCTGATCTAAAAATACATTTTAGATTGAACAAATGCATTTAACTAGTACCAGTAAGACTTTACAATAAGTTCACTCTGTCTCACACCTGAGTGTACAATATGGTATCAAAAGATTGATTTTTTTATCAGATCCAAGCCCTGGTTCTTCAACTTCAACCTCTTCTGTTCCAACATGATGTTATTTAAATGTAATGGCTGTCAGAATGAAGAAGAACTCCTTGGTGCCATGTTCTACTAAGATCACTTCAAGTTTTTATTCTTTGTTTCTAATCAGAACTTGTGTCTTCTCAGTTAAAATGAAACCAGGAGATAGATCATTCTCTTAACAGACAACTCACAACTGTATATTTTGAAGTAAATGAAACTTGTTTATTTTTTTTAAGGCTGTTGAGCAATCTCATACTGATCAGCTGGTGTCTGGTCCAGCTCATTCTTATATGATTGATTACTTTAGATTTTGTAATATTTTAGAGACAGTACTCCTGTAAAATATTAGGTATCTACAGTTTTAACAGCAGTTTGAGATGCAACTATATATTTATAAATATAATTTGGTTAATAAAAGATAATTCTTAAGGGAACAAGAAATCTGTGAGCCAATGCTCACTAGTAATACCCCCACTCTGACGTAAATAAGCACTATCATGTTAATATACACAAGTTCAATTACAGGCAGATGCACAGAAAAATATGAAGTTGACATTAGATTTATATCAAAATTAATTCCACCATATGGCAAGCCTCAACAAAGAGTGTAATAAAATTTCAAGCATCTACTTTGAATAGCTAATGAGAAAACTGCGACGAAGATTTGTTATGTATGAAACGGACAGACGCACAGACAAATAGGTAGTTGACATCGGATCTAAACAAAAATGTATCCCACCATATGGCATGCCTCAGAGAAGAGTGTGTTAAGATTTCAAGCATCAACGATGAGTAGTTGCTGAGAGAACTGCAACAAAATTTTGTTATGAATGAAACAACATCCCAAACAGGAAGTCACATCAAAGTTCAAATGCCTCAGAGAGGAGTGTGTTAAGATTTCAACCAAGTTGCAGAAAATGAGACAAAATTTTGTTATGTCGCCCGCAAAATCATGGTATATTGTTTCCCACCATATGGCGCCGAAGTGTGTTGACCATCTGACGTGACCTTCTATGGACAAAATTTTGATGTTGAAACGGACAGACGCACAGACAAACAGGAAGTTAGATGTTAGTGTAGCGAGTGAGCGAGCGGATCTAACATCTCTAATTTTAATTAGATTGACGCACAGACAAACAGGAAGTTGACATCGGATTTGAACAAAAATGTATCCCATCAAATGGCATGCCTCAGAGAAGAGTGTGTTAAAATTTCAAGCATCTACGTTGAGTAGTTGCTGAGAAAACTGCGATGAAAATTTGTTTCGGACGGACACACAGACACATGGACAGACAGACAGACACACAAGGGTAAAACAGTATACCCCCTTCTCCTTCCGAGCGGGGGTATAAATATGTGAATATTGGCCTTGTACATGTACCTCTATATTGTTTATTTATAATTTAATTTTAATTGTAACATGTCATTTGATTGGATAAAAGATTTTATCCATTTTGTATAACATAACTTGCCTATGTCACAATGAGTTATGTCTAAAATGTATTACTCTGCATGACGTTACTTTTAAAATATTCTTCATTTGAAGCCTTTTTCTGGAGGAAAAATTGTCTCATTGTCTACACTGAAATTAAATTATAAGAAATGAAGCTTATTTCAGCTTATGTTATATGATCTAACATAACAGTTACTTGGGGCAGTTTTGTAACGCTTCTTTGAATAAACCGCCAAGCAGTTTATAAAGCGTAAACTGCCCCAATTAAGTTATGTTTATTCGAATAACATAAGTTGAAATAAGCTTCATTCCTTAAGTGTGTCCAGTTCAATATGATTTAGGAACATTGACCATGTCCTAGTGTTTATTTCTTTATCCTTTTAGGAACATTGACCTTGACCTTTTCTGTTTCAGTGTCCCCCTTGTCGGGCCTTCACCCCTATCTTGGTCAAACTTTATAAGAAGTTACACGAGGACAAGAAGAACGTAGAAATCATCTTCCTCTCGTCGGACCGGTCACAGGAATCCTTTGACCAGTATTACGACACCATGCCCTGGCTGGCCGTACCATTTGGAGATCCCAGGATTGAACAGTTGAAGAATTTATTTGCTGTAGATGGTATGGATTTGTCACTCCTGCATGACATATTACATTAGGTGTCATTTACATCTATACAGCAGATATATGCCAGGTAGTTTGGCCTGCTCCTCTGGCTAGGTCTTATATATATACATTATATAAAGTGTGTCATTTCTCTTTGTAGGTATTCCTATGTTGGTTGTACTGGATGAAAAAGGAGAAGTCATTACAATAAATGGTCGGGGAGCTGCCATGATGGATGAAGAGGGTTTGGTAGGTCCATAAATTAATAACCAATCATGTCTGGTTAATGTAAGATCCACCTCAGCAAGCCTTTAATTGTCAGGGTATAACACCAGTAAACCATTTAAGTTTTTATAAAATGTTACTCTGTGTCTAATTCCCCCCAACCTTATGTACTGTTTTTACTCGTTTTTTTGTTTAATTTTTTTTTTGCTGATGTTAAATTGATGCCTTGTATATCATGTATGGCTTATCTAATGGTAGGTGTTAAGCGAGTGAAATGTAAACTGTACATAGGCTTTAGAGATCTCGATGTTTGATAGTTTTATTGTCTGTCAGATCCATCACTGGTGATAACACAATTCTCCACACAGAAGAAAAACATATGTGCAGATTGACTTTGACATATCTCTTCAAGTTTTAAGGATTCCGCCTGTGTCTGAATTAGGAGTGAAGGAAGCCTCCATTCTTACGTTGTAAATACAAACACAAAGATAATTTTTTGTAGCAATCTGTTCAGATATTATTTGCAGCTGTAAGAGGCAGAGTAATTGTGCGAGGTTTTAAACCACGGTAAAAACATATAACCAAGATGTCAGAATCAGACAGAACGCCACATTTAATACTGACATTCAAAAGGAGGTCCTGGTGTAATTATGTGTATATCACTCTGCTGCTTTCTGTCTGCAAAATCCAGAGAATATTTGACAAACAATTAACATGATTGAATTTGTTACCTATAATGTTTTGAAAGTTTACCATAATAAATAGCGATTATGTGTTTATATTCATTATGAAGTTAAAATACTTTAAGAGGGTCTAGGTAAAGTTTGTATCACAAAATACAAATTAATATTGTCCAATAAATACCTGATATGAGTTCAAATTGAAGTTTCTGTTGACAGGAGTTTCCATGGCACCCCAAGCCTGTGAATGAACTCACTGGGAATGCTGCCATCCAGCTGAATGAGTCTGCTTGTCTGGTTCTCTTCACAGGTAAATATATACTTATATCTACCTGTAAAATACTTTTCACAGGTAAATGTATATACTTATATCTACCTGTGTAAATGTATACTTATATCTGCCAGTAAAATACTCTTCACAGGTAAATGTATACTTATATCTACTGGTATTATACTCTTCACAGGTAAATATATACTTATATTATATAACTTTGTGAAGTAATAACTTTGGTCAATACAAGTAATGTATATTTTATAATGACCTGTGTAAAGCGAATAATGACTTATATCAACCTGTCGTTTTCACTTTCGCTTTATGTCAAACATGGGAAGTTTGCAAGTTGTAGGCAAGGAAAATTTAAAAGATATAGTGAAGAACTCTGAAGGTGAGAATACAAAACAATTATCAAGGTATATTTATATTTATCTGTATTACCACATATACCATTTCATTGTTGAACTCATTTTTTCACAGGTAAATATATACTTTGACGCTGTTTACGCAATTAGATTAGTGTGTTAAATACAAGTATGCCATGTACAATTGTATAGATAAGTTAGCCTATAAGTATTATACAGAGGTTAATATTTTGTCAGTGCATTTCCTTTGCAAGTGTAAATAGTTTCTTTTACAGAGGGTGAAGATCAGTATAATTATTAGTAACAGTTTCTATAAAGTATGTTTTTTACAGAGGGTGAAGATGATTAATTATTAGTAACTATAAATTATGTTTATATTTTATTTAGAGGATAAACACAATGTAAACATTAATTATTAGTAACTATAAATTATTATTTATATAATATATTTTACAGAGGGTGAAGATCAGTAATTATTAGTAACTATAAAGTATGTTCTTTTACAGAGGGTGAAGATGAGTAATTATGAGTAACTATAAAGTATCAGTTTTTTTCACAGAGGGTGAAGATGAGTAATTATTAGTAACTATAAACTTTTCACAGGTATGTTATTTTATCACCTGTGTAAATGATATGATGAGTAATTCTCTTAGTAACTATAAAAGTATATTATTTTACAGAGGGTGACTTATAGTAATTATTAATATACTTTATAAAGTATGTTTTTTACACAGGTAAATATAGATGAGGGTTTAATTATTAGTAACTTTAAAGTATGTTTTTTACAGAGGGTGAAGATGAGTAATTATTAAATATAACATATTAAGTATGTTTTTTTACAGAGGGTGAAGATGAGTAATTATTAGTAACTATTTTTTTTTACAGAGAGTGAAGATGATTAATTATTAGTAACTATAAATTATGGGGTTTTTTTTTTACAGAGGGTGAAGATGAGTAATTATTAGTAACTATAAAGTATGTTTTTACAGAGGGTGAAGATGAGTAATTATTAGTAACTATGAAGTATGTTAATTTTACAGAGGGTGAAGATGAGTAATTATTAGTAACTATAAAGTATGTTTATTTTACAGAGGGTGAAGATGAGTAATTATTAGTAACTATAAAGTGTGATTTTTTTTACAGAAGGCAGGGGATGACAAATCCCATTGCCCGACACCCGGGGCTAGTGAATTTTCGGGGTGGGCAAGTGGAATTTTATCAACCACTTGCCCGTGGGCAAGTGAATTATCAAAAATAGAATTTATTTGTACGCCATAAATTTAAAGCTGGACACAGGGGCTTGCTCAGCATTTGTCTTCTTCTTTTTTTTTGAAATATCTATAATACAGAATTAGTTTATGGTTGGGCAAGCAAAAATTCAGGTAGGGCAAGTCAATTTTGACCATGTACTTGCCCTTGGACAAGTGCCTTAAAAATCTATTTGTCAGCCCCTGAGAGGGTGAAAATGAGTAATTATTAGTAACTATTAAGTTTGTTTTTTTTACAGAGGGTGAAGATGAGTAATTATTAGTAACTATAAAGTATGTTATTTTACAGAGGATGAAGATGAGTAATTATTAGTAACTATAAAAGTATGTTATTTTACAGAGGGTGAAGATGAGTAATTATTAGTAACTATAAAGTATGTTTATTTTACAGAGGGTGAAGATGAGTAATTATTAGTAACTATAAAGTGTGATTTTTTTTTTACAGAGGGTGAAGATGAGTAATTATTAGTAACTATAAAGTATGTTTATTTTACAGAGGGTGAAGATGAGTAATTAATAGTAACTATAAAGTATGTTTATTTTACAGAGGGTGAAGATGAGTAATTATCAGTAACTATAAAGTATGTTTATTTTACAGAGGGTGAAGATGAGGACATTGAGTGGGCTACAGAAGTTCTTACCGAGACGGCCACCACAGAACACAACAAAGGGGAGGATCAAGAACTTTTCTTCTTCTTTGGTGGAGATGTAAGTTGAATTTACTTAAGAAATTTTCAGTTTCACAAAGAAGATAATTTATCCAGAATTTTAGTATTTCAATTTCTTTGAGAAACAAATATAAAAGATTTTATGTAGCAATTTACATTGTATGTATTTGCATTGCTGAATAAGTTAAATTAACTTTTATATGTTTTTGTAAAAAGTGAAGACTAAATATTTATGCTCCCCTTTGAAGAAGAGAGGGTGTATTGTTTTGCTGCTGTCTGTTGGTCTGTCAGTCAACAGTTTCTGTTCAGTTAATTTATTTGCATATATAAAATAAGATTTGGTATACAGATTTATCATAAGAATATCAAGGTTAAGTTATGTTTTGGGTATGAAAGAGCAAGTTTTGACAGAGTTATACCCCTTGGACAAGAAAAATTCCAATTATTTAAAGTTTCCGTTCATTACTATGTTCAATCTTTCCAGGATGAAATCTGCGACTCTGTGAGGAGTTTTGCTAAGCTACCTGATCCCTGCCCACTGCTGGTCATACTGGACTTCCCAGAGCAGAAAGTGTACAAGTGTACAGAAAAAACAATCACCAGTGATGTGGTCAAAGACTTTGTCAGGGGCTACTTTAGTGAGACACTAGAACCTGTGCTACTTAGAGGTCCGGAGTAGACAAGGAGACCATATCTGTGTTACTGAGAGGGCGGAGTAGACAAGGAGAAAACAGAACCTTTACCGAGTCTGGCCCAGATTAGGCACAGGGAATCTGCTGCTCAGAGGTCCTGAAAGATATTTAATGAATCTAAAAAAAAATATTGAATTATAAAAAAAGAGTAAATGATCTGTTTAAAATAGATAATGATTGCCAGGTCTGAAGGAGGGTTAAAGTCTATTTGTTTCTCCTTCAGTATTTAATATTTGTGTTAATTGTAAATAATACATTTTGTCTTACATGTTCGTTCATTTAATGAACTTATTCCATAAAAAGAGGAAATATTATTGTGTCATTGTTAAATGTTTGGACTGTAAAACTTAGTATGCCTGGTTCTCTTCAAGTTCTTTTAATTTCATTTTTTGTACTGTATTAATACAAAAATTTACTAGTAAAGTTAAATCTTAATAGTAATGTCCATTCAAATTACAAAATATTGGTTATGTACTATCTAGCTGATACAATGAATTGGTTTTTCTTTTATGAAATGCGTATGAGTCATGGAAATAAAACATGGGATGTTTGTAAATTTACACATCAACTGATAAATCAGGATATAGGTACAGTATTGTTGCTTATATATACACAACGTACGTTCAATATGCCTATAGTGATTTACATTCATGTATGTTTGTGTACATTATATTTGTTTCATTTTTTTTCTGTTACTGGTAGAAATGTCTTTATTGTTGATATTAGAGTGAAATACCATATAATGGTTACAATATGTTACAATTAGTGATATTACATGAAGTGTACATGTATTCCCAAACATAATGTCATGAAGTTTAAATGAAAAGGTCAGGTAGTACCTTGGATATTTTCATGGACAATTTATAGTGAATTCCTTCTTTTCTCTTATTTTGGGTTAATGATTTTAATGAATTTTTCATTGAGCAATATTTTAAAACAATTGCCACAGCTTTAATTAAGCATAAACATTAAACATACAAAATTAGGCTCAAGTTCATTCTTATGCTCATTTGAAAATTTTAGAATTAATTTATGCATTAATGATGGTGACAATTTTGTCTTAAATATTAATGTAGAAAATGCATTTGTTTCTCAAATGTTCCCTTACATTTGTAATCCAAGTACTAAAGAAATTGGATTTTTGTCAGTTTATATATGTTTAATAAATTATGTGTTAAATCAAGTGTGTTTAATCAAGAAAAAATATATGAATTCTATCAAGTAATTATAGATTAAAGATAAGCAATATTCATCTCATTTATTATAGTAACATTACTTTTGACAATCAAATGCATTAAGAAAGCAAAATTTTCATAGTTTTATTATTCTGAGATTTTTTTCCTTTTGGGGGGGTGGGTGGGTGGGGTGTTGTTTTTTTCTTTTTTTTTTTGTACATATAATTCTTTAGTTATTTTGAAGCACATATCATGAGTATAAATTTTTTATAGCAAATACTGAATATGTTTTAAAAAAATTACGCAATTACTTATGTATGAATCATTGATCTATGTCATGTTTAGACAATTCAAAAAGTAAACCTTTCTTGTTTGGGGGTTATGAACTTCTTGCTAATTAGCTTGCATTGTTCTGTTTATTATAATTTCATTTCCTGCTTGTTGAATATGCCACAATGTAATAACTGTCATATTTTAGTGTGCCAATAGATGACATTTTGTTAAGTCTAAGGCTAGCTTTAATTAAGCATTTCTGGGTTCTGTGAACTTCACTGTTCCGATGTTTCAATGTTAAGTGGTTCCTTGCTGTTGTCTGTATTATATAGTTTGTGCAGTGGATTAGTAACTCTAGAGTCTTGTCTATGTTTGATTCAGTATTCATCAAAGATGAAAAATTATTTAATAAAGAGTCACAGAATTACATTAACTTGTTCTAGTTGTATTGTATGCAATTCTTGAATCCTCTTTGAATCTTATGGTTACCATGATGGCCGTTTTTAAGAAAATTTAAAATAAGAAATTATTCAAAAGTTACAACATCAAATATATGCTTTTTCTACACTTTCTACAATCATTCCTTGCAATCAATTAAAACTGGACTTTTGATATAGACAACTCCTTCTTCAATAAGCATGCAACTCCAAAAACTTTCATATATGGTTTGACTGGTCAGGTTAAGCTTAAACAATTCTTTTTTTTAAATGAAAATTTTTTCTTTGAAGAAGTTTTTTATGGATAAAAAATCATGGAAAATTTAGTGAAGTAATTTAAAAAATAGACTCCACTAAATTAAACAGTACTGATCGATAAAAACAACAATGAAAAAAAAAAGATTTTGAAATATCCTGAAAAAAATTTGATCTTACAGTGGAATCTTTTTTGGGGTCAGGTGTATTTTAAGCTGATTGGAAAGCAACTGCAAACAAACTTTTTATATTTAAGGCTTTATGTGAAAGCTTTCTTATGTAATATTTAGATTCTAAATTGTTCAGATCATGACCTAGCTATTGTATGATGGGGATACAATAGGGGATCCAAGGTTTAAACAGTAAAAAGGTAGGTGCAGACCCCTGGGGTAAAAGTAGAGTTTTTATATTGCAATATTTACACTGTAGAGAAAAATCAAATCTTTTTCTCAAGAACTGCTGACCAGAAGAAGAAAAGATGAAACCTTACATGGATGCTTTCTGATACATGTAGTGAGTTTAAACTGTTCAGATCTTGGTCCCTCGGGTAGGTTGGTGACAAAATACGAAATCAAATATTTACATTGAAATATGTAGGGAAATTCTTCAAAAAGCTCGAGGACCAATGTGATGAGAAAACCAAAACTTATTAAGTGGAATCTTTCTGAGATATTGTTGATTGTAAATTGTTAGACCAAGTTCTCTATGGTTGAGGTTGGGTCAAAATAGGGATTTTATAAGGAAGTCTTCAACATTGCTCTTTCCAAGAACAGGAAACCCCTGATGAATCATATTAATGAAGAATCATTTCTGTTTGACTTATGGCTCGTATGTATAGGATGCGGACATTAAAATAAATCAATATGATTATTCTCAAAGTTTATTTTAAAATACTTGAATTAGCAAAACATAATGTCATTGACTAGCTAATCCTCGTGAAAAAATATTGTGGACAAAATATTTATAGTTGCATAGTTATATATAAAAACATTTCACAACTTCATATGAACATACATGTAATTATGTAAAATAAATGCATTTTTAAGTATATGTTTTACACTAGCAAGAACAAAATCAAGCACTACAAAATTTACATTTTGGAGCAAGCATCAACTAACAATATCAAAATACCCTTTATTATAGAAATACGATTTTCTATATTTATATAAAATTTACTGACATAGTATATATTCCATCACTTCAAATTTATTTCTTCTTCTTCTTTTTTTTCATGAAATTATCGATTCAACTATCCTGATTTCATTATTTCTTACTCTCTATCAACACTTATTTCTAAATATATTTTTTACCTTTGAAGAAGAATATTCACCTCATCCTTTGGGCTCGGTAAATATTGTACTCCTCAGGTGGTTAAATCATTAAACTAACCTCAAAAACAGCCATTATAAGAGTTTTTTTTTTAAACTCTATGTGTGACAATTAAACACTATGTGGGACAGTCAAAGTATGACAGAGTGTAAACATGGTTTCTATATTTCAGTGCCCAAATGCAAAGAAGAAAAAGAAAAACTCATTGTTAGGAGTAACAAAGAAATGGATTTGATTATCAGTTATGATAATCTTGGAAAAATAAACCCCTATCATTATATGATAATTATAATATAATGTATATATGTATCAGAGTAAAGTATTTTTAATTCAATATCAGGTTAAAAAGGACGGCTTTTTCGGACACAACAATGTAACATGTATACATCACAATAAGTAGCTTCTGTGCCATATAGAACAACAAAACTGGTATTTAAACAACATATATAAATATATATAAATATAAATGCACAACACAGAATTAAGGACTTTTCAAAACAAAAATATTTTGTTATTACGTATGGTCCTTGTTTTATTTGGCAACGAAAATATTTCTTAAAAATACTTCTTCTTAAAAAAGGAGTTCAGCAGGGTAGCCTTTGGATATTTAAAATATTAAATAAATGCACATACTTGTGGGGAAAATTATAAATGCATGTGACATCGTACACAGATGAGATTCAATTATTTTATATTGTGAGTGAAGACTACAAGATTGCTGACATATGACCAAGCTTAGGCAAGCAGTAAATCATGGCTTGGAATGGAACCTGAGATGAAGGTGGTGTGGAATCAGAGCTAAGCTGAGATTAAGGTGGAATTGGACTAAGCGTTGCAGCATTTTAAAGATTTCTTCTTCTTTTCTTCATAAAGGTCATTTTTCTCCATTCCTAGGAACAAAGAAAAAATGTTCAGTAATATAATGTCTCAAGGGCTTTTGAAAACGAATGTAACCTCTCTGTTTACAAAGGATGCATAGGTAATTCCACAAAACTTTTAGTTGATTGAATGGATGTTTGAATTTCTTTTGATTAATTGATAAATAATTGATTTTCATTGTTTAACCCAAGTGGGCAATATTTCAGCCAAATCATCTCATTTAATATTGTCCGAAAATAGCTCTTCAGAGCTTATGTTTCTTGTTGATTTAACAGACTTTAAATAAATATTATCCTCTATGATTTAATCATGAAAGACGGTTATACTTACTAATTAAGTCATTTCCGATCTGCTTGGTTTGTGTAGGTGTAGATTCTAATTCCCTGAGGACAGCGGCTTCAAAGGTCAGGCAGACAACACGGAAAAAATAGTCATTGACATTCTCCCCTGTAAAAGTCATTTACAAATTTTATGTAACAATGGCAACACTTTTAAAAGAAATCCAAAATTGAAACTTATCATCATTTATTTTATTAGCTAAGTCCATGTAGTATAGTATTTAGTTCTGAATGACCAATCAAGTTTACAGTCCAGCATTCTACTCGGAATAACAAATCTTTTATATGACCTGGTATTTAGTTCATATTAATCCACCCGCTTTACAAGAAAGAGCCTAATTTTCAGCTGACAATAACCCACCTGATTTGGAGGATACGGCCCAGTACTCTGCTCCTAAAGTCCTAGCAATATCAGCAGCTCTTCTCTCTACATTCTCATAGGCAGCGGGAGACTAAAGAAGCAATCGGTGATAAATATCATCTGATACAAATTACAAATATCAGACAAGTGAAGATTCACATGTGTACTAGAACCATTTTACATTTGAACTCTGTTCCTGTTTTATTCTAGGTTACAAAAGAGTTCTGAATTTTTTATTCAATGAGAGCTTGCTTTAGATAGTTTTTAAAGCCTTCTGCTTCAGATGATAACACAAACATATCAGACAACTGCAGGGCTACAGTGACTTCCACATTCTCTGTGTTAGCTATATTTGGTGAATGAGAAACAACTGTTTGTACTAATCTGAAGTAATCACATGACATACCAGTTTGTCTTTCTTTGTTCCCACCAGAAACTTCACAGGTTCATCTGCGTTTTCACAGGCATCTGCCATCCACCGCGAGGCGTTAGACAGAGACCGCTCATCACTCAGATCAAACACTACCATGACAACTGCAAAACAAACATTACCATGACAACTGTAAAACAAACATAACCATCACAACTGTAAAACAAACATTACCATCACAACTGTAAAACAAACATTACCATCACAACTGTAAAACAAATATTACCATGACAACTGTAAAACAAACATAACCATCACAACTGTAAAACAAACATTACCATGACAACTGCAAAACAAACATTACCATGACAACTGTAAAACAAACATAACCACCACAACTGTAAAACAAACATTACCATCACAACTGTAAAACAAACATTACCATGACAACTGTAAAACAAATATTACCATGACAACTGTAAAACAAACATTACCATGACAACTGTAAAACAAACATTACCATGACAACTGTAAAACAAACATTACCATGACAACTGTAAAACAAACACAACCATGACAACTGCAAAACAAACACAGCCATAACAACTGTATAACAAACACAGCCATGACACCTGTATAACAAACACAACCATGATAACTGTAAAACACGCACAACCATGACAACTATAAAACACACACAACCATGACAACTGTAAAACAAACACAACCATGACAACTGTAAAACTAACACAACCATGACAACTGTAAAACTAACACAACCATGACACCTGTATAACAAACACAACCATGATAACTGTAAAACATGCACAACCAGGACAACTATAAAACACACACAACCATGACAACTGTAAAACAAACACAACCATGACAACTGTAAAACAAACATAACCATGACAATAGTAAAATAAACACTACCATGACAATGTAAAACACACACAACCATGACAACTGTAACACAAACACAACCATGACAACTGTAAAACAAACACAACCACGACAACTGACCATGACAACTGTAAAACACACACTACCATAACAACTGTTAAACACACACCACCACAACAACTGTAAAACACACACAACCACAACAACTGTAAAACAAACACAACCATGACAACTGTAAAACAAACAAAATCATGACAACTGTTAAACAAACACAACCATGACAACTGTAAAACAAACACAACCATGACAACTGTTAAACAAACTAGGGGTGGGACGATATACCGATACACCGATACATATCGATATTTTCCTCTAAGATATGGTTTAAGATACAAGCATTCAAATATCGGTACGAAACAATACACGAACGACCTATCCAAAAATTGAAAATGAAAGTACCTGTCCTTGAAAATTGCGGCCTGTACGAAGCAAGGAGATGGTGTTGATATTGAAAACACACTTTAGAACTGATAAGTCGTTGATTAGGGGTAATACGTTTTCATTTTTAAGCAGCCTCGGAAGATAAGTTCAGTGTGCAATGCGTGCTATACACAGAAAAGTATCGTTTCGAGAACATTTGGTATTATTAATTGTTAGTCCATTCATACTTTGTAATCTCAACTTGGCTACATACTTTCAGCAATTAATTATACTATAAATGTTATTTTTTAATGACTTTTTAGTCAGTGTTCATTGATAAACTACACAACTATTTGTAAACAACTTGTTAATAGAAATTTGGTAATATGTACAATTGCCCTGTATTATTGTTTTTGTAAAGTTTTAGTCAGTGAAGTTGATGAACTTCAAGTATTAATTTCATAGCACACATGATTTGATATAGAATAATTTTTTGAGTTAATGTCAAGACAAAAAAATTAAATAAAATACTAATTCTTTTGAATAGTTTTACAATTTATCATATTGTGTTAATGTCAAGACCAAAAAAAATGAAATAAAATACTACTTTTTAATAGTTTTTTGATTTATCATAATATCGAGATACGTATCGTATCGTGCCAATATATCGAGATACGTATCGTATCGCAAGATCTGTGTATCGTCCCACCCCTAAAACAAACACAACCATGACAACTGTAAAACAAACACAACCATGATAACTGTAAAACAAACAAAATCATGACAACTGTTATACAAACACAACCATGACAACTGTAAAACAAACACAACCATGACAACTGTAAAACAAATTTCTTTATACAGTCTCACCATGCAAAACAAAAACCGGGTAATTTTAAAGTCATTTTTTCTTTCAAAGCATATACATATGACTAGTTTTAATTACAAGTCAGCTAGCCTTACCTACATAATGACCATGTATAAAACAACATCTTAAAACTACATTTCTTTTTTATTTCTTCAATCTCCTCTTACCTATTATAAGTGTCTCTGTAGTAGCAGGCAGTTACACATTTGGAATCCCTCATGACTTACCATTAGTTCCTCTGAAGAAGGAGGCAGTTACGCATTTGGAATTGTTCTTCCTTTGCCATAAGTTCCTCTGTTGTAAATTACACTATTGTCAAAGGAATCTCTCATAACTTACCATTAGTTCCTCTATAGTTGGAGGCAGCTTTATATTTGAAATCTCTCATGACTTACCATTAGTTCCTCTGTAGTTGGAGTCCTCATTACATTTGGAATCTCTCATGACTTACCATTAGTTCCTCTGTAGTTGGAGTCCTCATTACATTTGGAATCTCTCATGACTTACCATTAGTTCCTCTGTAGTTGGAGTCCTCATTACATTTGGAATCTCTCATGACTTACCATTAGTTCCTCTGTAGTTGGAGTCCTCATTACATTTGGAATCTCTCATGACTTACCATTAGTTCCTCTGTAGTTGGAGTCCTCATTACATTTGGAATCTCTCATGACTTACCATTAATTCCTCTATAGTTACTATAGGAGGTTGCACTGTCTCTGTTATGCTTTGTATAGCCTGGTCCCCTGGCTCATCCTTGCCAAGGCAGGAGAGCCAGGTGGATTACATTCTATGCTTTCCTTTGATTGGTCAGAACAATGCACGCTAAACCATGGGATTTTGAGCCGTTGCCGTTAACCACGGAAATAAATATCGACGTAACATTACGTCGATGACGTAGAAAAATAAGACGTCACAATGAACGTTTTCACCGGAAGCGCAGCCATATTGGACGTCACAATAGGCTAAGATTCAGGACAGATTCACCCTGAATCCATTGTACTCCACCTGGCCCTAGTGACGCGGAATATACAAAGCAAAACAGGGACATGGAACCAGGCTATGCTTTGTATACTTTGTGTCACTAGGGCCAGGTGGAGTACAATGGATTCAGGCCCACTGTGACATCGAATCTGGCTGTGCTTCATGTGAAGACGTTCATTGTGACATCATATTTTTCTACGCCGTCGATGTAACATGTCATTGTTACGTCGATTTTTATTTCCTTGATTAACGGCAATGGCTCAAAAACTCCTGATTTACCGCGCATTGTTCTGACCAATCAAAGGAAAGCATAAAATGTAATCCACCTGGCTCTACTGCCTTGGCAAGGATGAGACAGGGGAGCAGGCTACTGTAGGAGGTTGCATAACATTTGGAATCTCTCATGACTTACCATTAGTTCCTCTAGTTACTGTAGGAGGTTGCATAACATTTGGAATCTCTCATGACTTACCATTAGTTCCTCTAGTTACTGTAGGAGGTTGCATAACATTTGGAATCTCTCATGACTTACCACTAGTTCCTCCGTAGTTGGAGTCCTCATTACATTTGGAATCTCTCATGACTTACCACTCGTTCCTCTATTAGTAGGAGTCTGCATTACATTTGGAATCTCTCATGACTTACCACTAGTTCCTCTATTAGTAGGAGTCTGCATTACATTTGGAATCTCTCATGACTTACCATTAGTTCCTCTGTAGTAAGAGGCAGCTATACATTTGAATCTTTCTTGTCCAGCTGTGTCCCAACTTTCAATAAAAAAATTGATCCATGATCAACTGTGAAATTTAAGTCCTACTTGAGCATACACATTTCATCATTTAATTTATCAGTATTCTTTCTTTACGTTCTTAGTCTTAAACAAAAGTAAAGTTGGGTTAATGATCAAATATAATGACATGATAAAAATGTTTATTCTGAACTTACATTTGAAGGGTAAAGGGAACAGACAAAATGGAGAATTTTTCCACTTCAAAGTCAACTCCTATTGTTGCCTTGTAGTCACGGTCAAATACATCATGGCAAAACCTATAAACAGATAGATGTATATATTTCACACAATGTACATGTTTCGATGTAAAATGACTTGATAGTCCGAGTAAAATCTAGTGTATGAAATTCTAGGCAGCAAACATGTCCAGCTGAAATAACTAAAGGAATTTTTCTAAACAAATATAAAAGGAATCTTTCAATCTTTCATAAATATTTTAATGAAACAAATAGTATTATCCAGATGAAGGATAAGGAGATAACGAACAGTATTCAAAATCAAAGTCCATAAAACAATACAAAATAGGAGCAGAGCAAAACCGGACCTCTTAAACATCAGAGGTGGGATCAGGTGCCATGGAGGAGTGAGCATCCCCTGCTAACCAGTCACACCTGCCGTGTGCTCCTTGTCATGATCGGGAAATAACGGAACAATCTGTTGTCAATTCAGTGAATAAATAATGGACTAACAATTAGTGTGAAAAACTTCAGTCAGCATTTAACTCAATGATAAATTGTTTTTGCTGACAGGGCCATTGTATCGACCAAAGAACTGATGAAATGATGACTTTAAACGAGACTGCTGATATTCTTGTTTCATCAATTTTTCAACGATATACATTGTTTTAGAAATTGTACATACGTAGAGCATGCTCTTGCATATCGAATCAACTGAGATATATAAACGCCATATGCAGGTGATGAAGGTACAGTCAATTCTCGAATTATCGCCATTCGATTCATCGCCATTTTCGCAATACCGCCATGATTTCCAAAGAACGTTTTTCCTGCTATATAAAATTTTCTTTATAATGCCAAATTCACATACCGCCATCCGCCACCCTGTTTTAACCACAAACGTCCATTTTTAAGTTTAAATTTTCTCAATATACCGCCACAGGTGCATGTGGTCAGTGAAGCGTGGCTAATTGGTTGATGCTATCCCTGTTGTAAAGCATGCAAACCCAGACAAGGTACATGCAATTAAATAGGGCTGCGTATTGAGCCAAAAATTTCGATACGATATGATACAATACTTTTTAAAGCGATATGCGATATATTGGATTCTAAAACAAGTCCATTGGAAAAGGCTTATAAATCATTTTAATGCATAATTTTCATAACAAATAAGTGTTTTATTACCCATTTCAAACTTCTTGTCTCATTGACATTACAAATAACACTTCAAATGAAAACTTTTAATGACATTAAAATCAACATGTTCAAATTCAATTCTCTTTGTATTTTGTAACAGTTATAAAACTGTGTTATTTCCTTACAAATTATATAATGATTAAACAGTTTTTTTAAAAAGTGAGATATAATATTATGTGATTGAAATTCCCAACTTTTTAACAGAATTAGAAGAAAAACTAGATGAGATCTCGTTGCGAGCAACGAGTAGGTCTTCCGTTGAATTTATCGATAAAATGAGATGTGATTTTGACTGAGATATTCGTAATAAGGTACAGTTAATTCTCGATAAACCGCCACCTTTTGTAATTTAGAAATCATGGCGGTATAACGAATTTGGCGATGAATTGAATTTCCCATCTTTTAGGAAACAAGAAGTAGAGTTACCGTTCTTAGAAATACCATAAAGTGTTTCTATTCTTATAAGTACATGTATATAAAACATATTTCTAAATTTTAAAATACTTTAAGTTATTTTTTTATGTACAATTCCTTTAAAACAAAATGTGCAGTTATGAAATAAAGACAAGTACATGTGCATCTATTTACATGTAAATCGGCACGTCTGATATTTGAAAAAAAAAACATGCTGTGTCGATCGTCGTGATATATTGCCGACAGTACGTAAAATGGTTTCTTGAATAAATTTATTGTTTATTGTTTATGGCATCATTGTTAGTGAAACGTTCACAATTTATACCGTATAATTATTTTTAAGCAAACTTTGCATTGTTTAAAGCAGAGATCATCAAAATAATATCGTAATCGGCGTACTTTCACAACTACCCTTTCGTGGCGAAAACTAAATGATTTTTCTAAACAAAACAACAGAACAACATCATTGTAACAGTTCATATTAAAATCTTTTGTTCATTTATATCTAATTTAATTATTTAATTGCGTGTACCTTGACTGGCTTTGCATGCTTTACAACAGGGATAGCGTCAACCAATTATAGACGCGCTTCACTGACCGCACGCACCTGTGGCGGTATATCGAGATAATTGACACTTAAAAATGGACGTTTGTTTTGAAAACAGGGTGGCGGATGGCGGTATGCGAATTTGGCGTTATAAAGAGAATTTTTTATAGCAGGAAAAACGTTCTTAGGAAATCATGGCGGTATTGCGAAAATGGCGATGAATCGAATGGCGATAATTCGAGAATTGACTGTAATTAAATTAAGTTTTCCATCATTAAATTTAATTTTTCTTATTTATATCACAATATTTTGAGCATCTTTAGTTCAATATGGCTTATAATTAAAATATTCCTCCTTTTTGAGATGTAAAGCATCCAAAATATAGAATTTTGGCCCCTTGCGACCCCTTATTACGCAACAGAAACATGTAATCGAAATTCTATAAAACGTTGTTGCAAAGCGTTAAGATGAATATCTTTGCTTCAGTAATGTATTACAAAATATTTACTGATATAGAGTTATCGATGAAAGACTTCTGGCCCCTCTGAGCCCCTAATTTGAGGAGTCAGCCCCTTTTTCCTGATATCAAACGAAAGGTCTTGTGATTTTAAAGACTTTTTGTTCAACATCTATTCAGAGATTTCTTTTTGTTGTGGAGATATGCTGAATGGAAATATTCAACGGCTACCCTCCAAGTCCTTAATGGGGCCGTTTTACAAAAATTTCAAGTATGTATATTGTTTAAAACATTATTCTGACCATCTTTTGTTCAATATTGCTTATCAAAATATTCGCCCTTTTTGAGATATAAAACCTGAAAGATTTATCATTCTGACCCCTTGTAACCCCTAATTAAGTAACATATGATCAAAATATTTTAATATAGTTGCAAATGGTCAAGGTATTTTTTGCTTCAGTAATGTATTACAAAATATTTATCGTTAACGAACTAAAGATGAAAGACTTTAGGCCCCTATGGGCCCCTAATTTGAGTCCCTTTTTCTTGATTTCAAATGAAAGGTCTTGTGAATTCAAAGACTTTTTGTTCAAAACCTATTCAGAGATTTCTTTTCGTTGTGGAGATATGCTGAATAGAAATATTTAGGGGCTACCCTCCAAGTCCTTAATGGGGCCGTTTTACAAAAATTTGAAGTATGCATATTGTTTAAAACATTATTCTGACCATCTTTTGTTCAATATTGCTTATCAAAATATTCGCCCTTTTCGAGATAAAAACCTCAAAGATTTACCATTCTAGCCCCTTGTGTCCCCTAATTACGTAACCTATGACCAAAATTTTATCATATTTTGTTGCTAATCGTTAAGATAAATACTTTTGCTTCAGTAATGTATAACAAAATATTGATCATTAGAGAGTTATAGATAAAAGACTTTTGGCCCCTCTGAGCCCCTAATTTGAGGGGTCAGCCCCATTTTCTTAATATCAAATGAAAGGTCTTGTGATTTTAAAGATTTTTTGTTCAACACTTATTCAGAGATTTGTATTTGTTGTGGAGATATGCTAAATGGAAATATTTAGGGGCCACCCTCCAAGTCCTTAATGGGGCCGTTTTACAAAGATTCAAAGTATGCATATTGTGTAGAACATTATTCTGACCATCTTTTGTTCAATATTCTTATCAAAATATTCCCCTTTTTTGAGATAGAAAGCGTGAAAAATTTGACATTCTGGCCCCTTGTGACCCCTAATTATGTAACATATGATCAAACTTTTATCATATTTTGTTGCAAATTGTTAAGATGAATACTTTTGCTTCAGTAATGTATAACAAAATATTGATCATTTGAGAGTTAAGGATAAAAGACTTTTGGCCCCTCTGAGCCCCTAATTTGAGGAGTCAGCCCCATGTTCTTAATATCAAATGAAAGGTCTTGCAATTTTGCACATTTTTTCTTCAATATGCTATAATATAACAAATTATGAACAGGTACGAAGATATGAAACAAAATGTGTCAATTTTTGTGAGATGTTTCTGAGACATTTTTCGAGCTCTACCGAGCTCCGGCGCCTTTTGCGCTAGAAAGATTTGGAGACCCAATTACAATTCACTAAACCTTCGTTTACTTTCACTGAAAATCTTAAGTCAATATCTTAAGTCGTTTTGGAGGAGTTTCCTGGACAAGCTGACCCTCTGAAAATCAGAAAATCGTCCATATCTCAGGACCGGAAGTGACGTCATCAATATAAAAAATTTCCAATAAGGTTCAGATCAATATCTATTAGATCTGAAAGTTTCATCAAAATCGACCGAGCCGTTTCCGAGAACTCGCGTGCACAAAAATCGGTAAGGAAAAAATTATAATAATAGGGAAAAAGAAACCGAACGAAAACAATAAGGTCTTCCGTTGGAAATGGAAGACCTTAACTACTTGTCCGATATGTATTGGAAGTTATTTTTTGATACGATATTTTTCTTGAATATCGATACGTATCGATATATTGGTACAGCCCTACAATTAAATAATTAATTAAGAATTAAATAAACAATAACTTTAACCCAAACTGTTATAATATTTTGTTTTCTGTTTAATAAAAATAATTTAGTCATGGCTTCGCCACGAAAATGGTCGTTGTTAAAGTACGCAGATAACGGTATTATTTTGATGATCTCTGCTTTAAACTTAAAAAATAATTATACAGTATAAATTTTGAACGTTTCATTAACAATGATGCCATAAACAATGAATTTATTCAAGAATTCATTTTACGTACTCTTGGCAATATATCACGACGATCGACCCAACATGTTTCTTTTTCAATATCAGATGTGCAGATTTACATGCAAAAACATGTACTTGTCTTATTTCATAATTGCACATTTTGTTTTAGAAAATTGTACATAAAAAATTACTTGAAGTATTTTAAAATTAGAAATATGTTTTTATATACATGTACATGTAATAATAAGAATAGAAAGGCTAAATGGTATTTCTAAGAACGGTAACTCTTTTTCTTGTTTCCTAAAAGATGGGAATTCAATTGATCGCCAAATTCGTCGTTATACTGCCCTGATTTCTAAATTACAAAAGGTGGCGGTTTATCGAGAATTAACTGTATACTGCTGCATGACTAAGTAAATGCCTAAACAAAGACAGAAATATAAGTGGTACATGTAATTTATTTTAACATTCTGAGGGAAAAGATAATTGTATGTTTTTGAAACTGAAAAAAAAATTGGTTCCTAAACTTAGGATTGATATGTAATTGGACCCTAACATAACTGTAAAATCTACTGTAAAAGAGGTCATAGTCTAGTACAAATCATTGAAGTGGAGATAATTTCTGTTGTGACATTACTTTAAATGGAGAAATCTAAAAGACACACTCAGAGAATATACATCATTGCACTTGGAGCATGCTTAAGTTTGAAAACGAGTTGTATAAAACATTTCATATCTAATCTTACGGTAATACATTTGCAAATAAACAATTAAATTTTAAATCTTTTTTAAGTTTGTATTCTAATTACCTGTTAACTAAGCTTGTTTTATTTTGTACATTGATTACCTGTTGACTAAGCTTGTTTTTCCTACAGAAACATCCCCGACCAACACAGCTTTACAAATCTTCAACCTGTAAAGAAATAACATTGAAATGAAATCTGCTACTTCACTAGCCTTTTGATAGCACCATAAAGCAAGGGTTTTATGAGGAGAAGTAGCATATCAAAAATACTTTGCTAGCAAAGATGCTGAATGAAACATGGTATCACTTTTGTAAAGCTTCTTTAAATCTCTTAAATACCGGTTCTACTTTCAATAAAAGCCTTTATCTTACTTACCCCACCCTTCCCGTTCTATTTTCACCACATGCCTGTCTCACTTTGGGATGAAAGTTCATTTTTTGGTATGGAGTGGCATCTGGATGGAATGCCTGATTGAAAAAAAAATTGTCAAGAAAAACAAGAGGCTCATGGGCCACAAAGCTCACCTGAGTAACATTGGCCCTGCTGTTCTTTACCAAATTTACCCTTTTGTAATTATCTACTTGAGCTTACAGCTCATGTGAGCTAATAATTATTTTTTTCAAATCCATTATGATAACTTAGTGCTTTTATGTCATCAAGAATTTTGCAAGGACATAATCAATACTCAACAACAAAGTCATAGAAACACATTCTAATGTAACTATATCTTATTCATATACCGGTATTTTATTTACTCTGGTAGAATTTTATTTTTTTTTTAATTTATTTAGTTAAATTTAGTGATGAAACACAGACTTAGATCAAAATTACCTGTGGAAATTTGGTGATCATTCTGTCTTTAGCGACATTGTTGGTAAGGATGGTTCTGCCAGCTGACATCTTTAGTTGATTTCCTCTAAATCTATATCTTCTACAATCTGTATATCAACAAACAGGGTTTTAAAAAGATTGGAAACATATAGTACTTAATCAAAAAAAAAAAAAAAACCAGTCTAATCATAAATAATCTGCTTCAAATGCTTTGTACTATGGTTTGTTTTTCTATACCAGAAACTGCTCGGCATTACAGATTCAACAAAATAAAACATGCCATTAAACCAGAAGTCTCTGTCGAGACTGTAGCTCTACTGGTTTGTACTTATAACAAAGGATGAGAAAAGAAGCCATTGCCATCAGACCAAAACTGTAGGATGACTAGCGATTTAAAGGAATTACAAAGAAAATTCAATTTTGAGTAACCATGGCAACACCGTTCATCGAAATAAAAAAACGATGCACTATTTTATGTACCTTAGTGTAGTCTACTTGTGTGCCAAGTAATATTGAAATCAGACCAAAACTGTAGGAGGAGTAGCGTTTTAAAGGAATTTCAAAGAAAATTCTATTTTTAGTAACCATGGCAACACCGTTCACCAAAATCAAAAATCGATGCACTATTTTATGTATCTTAGTGTAGTCTACTTGTGTGTTACGTAATATTGAAATCAGACCAAAACTGTAGAAGGAGTAGCATTTTAAAGGAATTTCAAAGAAAATTCTATTTTTAGTAACCATGGCAACACCATTCACCGAAATCCAAAACCGATGCACTATTTTATGTATCTAAGTGTAGTCTACTTGTGTGCCAAGTAATATTGAAATCGAATCAAAACTGTAGGAGGAGTAGCGTTTTAAAGGAATTTCAAAGAAAATTCTATTTTTAGTAACCATGGCAACACCGTTCACCGAAATCCAAAACCGATGCACTATTTTATGTATCTTAGTGTAGTCTACTTGTGTGCCAAGTAATATTGAAATCAAATCAAAACTGTAGGAGGAGTAGCGTTTTAAAGGAATTTCAAAGAAAATTCTATTTTTAGTAACCATGGCAACACCGTTCAACGAATCAAAAACCGATGCACTATTTTATGTATCTTAGTGTAGTCTACTTGTGTGCCAAGTAATATTGAAATCAAATCAAAACTGTAGGAGGAGTAGCGTTTTAAAGGAATTTTGAAAAATTCTATTTTTAGTAACCATGGCAACACCGTTCATCGAAATCAAAAACCGATGCACTATTTTATGTATCTTATTGTAGTCTACTTGTGTGCCATGTAATACTGAAATCAGACCAGAACTGTAGGAGGAGTAGCGTTTTAAAGGAATTTCAAAGAAAATTCTATTTTTAGTAACCATGGCAACACCGTTCATCGAAATCAAAAACCAATGCACTATTTTATGTATCTTAGTGTAGTCTACTTGTGTGCCAAGTAATATTGAAATCAGACCAAAACTGTAGGAGGAGTAGCGTTTAAATGGAATTTCAAAGAAATTTCTATTTTAGTTACTATGGCAATATCATTCAACAAAATCAAAAATCGATGCACTATTTCATGTATCTTAGCGTAGTCTACTTGTGTGCCAAGTATTATTGAAATCAGACCAAAACTGTAGGAGGAGTAGCGTTTTAAAGGAATTTCAAAGAAAATTTTATTTTTAGTAACCATGGCAACACCGTTCACCAAAATCAAAAATCTATGCATTATTTTATGTATCTTAGTGTAGTCTACTTGTGTGCCAAGTAATATTGAAATCAGACCAAAACTGTAGGAGGAGTAGCGTTTTGAAAAATTGTTTACAGACGGACAGACAGACAGACGGACGGACGACGGACACCTTACTATCGCATAAGCTCTTCTGGTCTCTGACCAGTAGAGCTAAAAATCAACAAATTGGGAGTAAGAAATTCAATTTAACCTATTTTGATTGTAACATGCAGTCAAAGTTCAGTCCAGAATTCCCTGATCACTTTGTGTGAAACTGGTCGAAGATAAAGATGAGGTTGAAATCAAAAAAATTAGTCTCAATGAATCTCAAAGAGATTATATTATAAGTAATATTTATTATGAGTATACATACAATCAGTCCACTTTTTTTCAGATATTATGAAAAAAATTATAGCTAATTCAAGTTATTTTGAAAATCTAACTCAGGTTTTAGTTAAGTTGGTCCTGTCAGCAAAGTCATAAAACATGCCATTTATGTCTCATATTAAAGACTTTCTATCCAAAAACAGAAAATTTGTAGGATTGAAAGCTGTTGAAAATAAAAAAGGGCATTTTGGTGCTGTTTTAAATAGCAAGCGCAGCAAGCTTAGTAGACTAAATTTGCAATGAAATCTGTATTGCATACAGCAGGCAAATTTTTATGTGAATCAGATTTCCTTTGCTTCTAGGATTCCATGCGATAATGGCGATTAAATAAATAACAAAAAATTTTCTACTTGTAGAAACCTTAAAAGAAAAAAGAAGATACTCTAAAGTAACTTTCATCAAAAATTGCAGGTCTATATTTTCACCAGACGCTCGGCTGTCTCCGTAAGTTCCTCTGAGCTCCATGACGTCGTGTGACGTCACTGCTAGTCAAGATGTCTCGTGCAACTTGATACTTGAAGTAGATGATCAATGTTTTAAGTGTATTTTTGATGGTACAACTGCGCTCTCCCCCAAAATAAGTTGGTACATGTATCTGGTCTGTCAAAATTTTGTCCCGTCCAACAGAACATTTGTTTTTGCCAGAGGTTGACAAAACATGGATAAGTCACGGAACACGGAAATAAGTTTACAAAATACGGAGAAATCACGGATAAAGTTTTATGTACGGAATATGGAAAATTTAAATTACGGATAATATTTTTTTCTGTTATATTCAGTAGTAATTATTATCATTTCGCTTTTTGAGTTTACGGAAATCTGTAAAGCTTTACTATATACGTAACAATGGTATCCACGGTGACGTCACAAATAGAGCCAGGATTTGGCGCAAGATGGATGATGATAAAGCTACAGAAGTTCAACCTATAATTTTGAATAGGCACTCTAGCCTTAGTGTTAGAGATGTTGAACATTTAATATTATATAAAGAACATAATTAACAAATTCCGTTTCGCCCAAAAGGTGGCGAAGTTTTTGTTTTTCATCCAAAAAATGAAATGGAGAATAGAGATTAGGTTGCAGATAGACATAGGTATATTTCAAAGATTTATACTTGATAAATATATAGCTGTAAAATACTGTTCTTATATTTTTTAATTCTATCGACTGTTTTCTCTTCTTTATCTGCTATCTCTTATCTTCTTTCTTTCCTTTCTTATATGTAGCTTTTCATGTAAAGGAAACCCGGAAAGTGAAAGGGAACTCATTTGACACGAAGTTGTTCTGCACATGCAGAATGCTTGAACATGGATTCATGTTTAATTGCACTAAGTGCCACCAGTGGTTTCATCCACGATGTCAAAATACAACACTTAGTGAAAAACAAATTAGAAAGTCTAAAACCATCAAATGTATGGATTGTAAGTCTTAGAGTTCATAAGTTTATTATATAAATGTTTCTTATTAAATATTGTAATATTTTCTCCGGATAAATAAATTCCATGAATATTACTTCACTTGTTTTATTTTTATTTATAGATCTCATGGATTATTCATGTTGATTTTTTTAATGTACGGAGATGCATGGACGGATTTATCATCCGTGCAAAAAACAATCCGTGATTTGTACTGTTTTTTTAATTTCCGTGCATCCGTGATTCCGTGACCTGTCCGTGTTTTGTAAACGGCGGTTTTTGCCAGACCAAACGTCTGATAGTGATTATACAGGTCTTCTAACAATCTTTTGGAATTCCTATTAGTATGTTAGTATACATTGTGCCCCGTAATTAGAAGTTTTTATACTCATATGAAGCAGAATTTGCTCGAAAGCTTATACGTGAAAAAAATTTCAACAGGTTTATGGTCAGGAGACTGGTCTGGTAATTTTGTGTGAAGATGAATATACAAGGACCAACCTAGGGGGCGACTGAGGCGAAATAGTCGCTTTTGGGCTCCAAACTTTGCCGTAATTTGTCATGAAAGCGAAGTTAAAGTCGCCTTAACATTTGCAAAACCTTTATTGAAAATCATAAAAAATCTCTATTTATCTATTAACAAACATGGTAGAATCGTCAGTAGTTTATAAATCTTGTTTTATTACTGCTGAATTAAACGAAACAGCAGGACACTTGCACCTGTTTTGCTGCCAATGACCAATGCATCGAATACTCCGTCGGAACTCCTCTAGATTTTACACTTCCGGGTATGAAAAAGTCCATTGTTACAAGTTATGCACAACCAGACGCAAAACAGCTGGTCAGCTATCGATGTCACGCCAAAGATGTTGAAGATGATTTTAGATCTTTTTATTGCCAAATAATTAATTCATGCTGTGAATACAGACACATTTTTACTGTTAAATTATGGAGTTATTGACCGTCAAAGAAATTACATGTCTGATTAAACAGAGTTCAATCAGCATGCATACGAAGTACATCAAAACTTTTTTCAGAAAAAAGTAATATTGAAAACAAATTTTGAAGAGAAGAAAACAAAATTATGACTATGCAATGAGGCTGAAAATTTTAAATGAAATGATAGAATTTAAAAGTTCATTCAATGTGCATATTATGCAAGAAATGAAAAAAAAAATTAAGATTGTCATTGTTTTTTTTGTTGTTGTTGTTGTTGTTTGTTTGTTTGGTTTTTTTTTTTGTTTGGTTTTTTTTTTTTGCTATATATACCTTGTAATTGGAAGAAAATTCAGATTTTTTTCTCTTTTTAAAATTATTCTTACTAGGATGTCAATACAGAAAAATTATTGAAATGTACAACTGTATTTTAAGTTATACACATAGAAATAGTTTCATTTTTAAAAAGTTTTATAATGATCAGTGGGTGTCACGCGCGCCAAGAAGTCTCCCTAAATTTCAAAACTTCTCCCTAAATTTCTCTGAGGGAGAAGTGAAGTCTCCCTAAATTTTGGGTCTAGGTTGGTCCCTGAATATAGCACAAAAATTTAAGAACTACAAGTAGAAATTATTTTACCCGAGTTTGTTCTGATGGATACGGGTATAACTAATCCATTTTACGCAGTCCCCATGCTCTAGACTTTGTATTCTTCTCATTACATCCCACCAGTCATTTCCCCAGACTCACGTTTTCGCTCAGCTATTTAACCGGAAGTGCAGCTAGGAACGCCTTCTTTCATCAATTCAAACGTCGAATGGGAATCCTTTGAGAGACGATCCATAATAAATTGTGAATTAAAAAATAAATCCAAATAATTTGTTTAAAAATAATACATGGTATTAGAATTTTCCCAGTTACTTATGTTGTTTTTGTTTAAGAATCTTTACACTGTTACAAAGTACGAATTATCAGAAAAAACTAAAGGGGTCAGTAAAGCGCTTAAAGTCTTGACAAGGGAAGGCATCTATTTAGTGACACTGATTATACATTAACACGTGCGCAGCACGAATCGTTCTTTTCAGAATTCAACATGGCTCCCAAGAAGAAGGGATCAGAAAGTATGATTTTAAAATCCTAAATTTCACCATAATGTGTCAGAGAAAACACGTCTTTGTCACACCCAAAGATTTCTAACATTGCATAATAGATTTGCAACCTCTAATTATCTAAAAGAACCTCAAAACAATAATTCATGAAATAAAATATTGACATCGGCTTAAAAGGGGGGGGGGGGGGTATGGTTGTGTCAAATATATTTGTGATTTATCAGCATGATATTTTTCTATGACACACCACATGTTTACTTGTGCGTAATATCCTTCAGGTGTAATGAAAACTGGCCCAACAGTTACTGTCCATAGATAAATAAAAGTGGCTGTGGTTTCAACAAACAACCCTGGTCAATGCACAGGAGTCTGCAATTTTATAAATTAAATAGAATAACTGATCAACAGATCAACTGATCAATAACTGATCAATTTTTTGATCAAAGATACATTATGGTTACAACATTTTCACAGTTTTTTTTACCAACATCAAACACCAGATATTGACTCAGTAGAATTAATTTATTCCCGACATTTTTACCTATACATATTTTGTTTGAAACCTGTGGCTATTTACAATTCTGCACAATGTCATGTTCATTGCCAAAAAATGTAATAACTTATTCATCAGTTTAATGCAATCTAATTAAAATTAGAGATGTTAGATCTGCTCGCTCACTCGCTACACTAACATCTAACAACATCCCATAGAAGCCCATATCGAAAATGAATATAAAAATAATAGATTAAAATAATACAAAAATAATACAAAAAAAGTATATTTTTAATGACCAAATTTGGAACCCTTTTTATCTTGGTTCCAAATTAGGTCAAAAATAATACACTTTCTTAGAAATGAAACACAAAAAATATATTTTTAATATACTTTATTTCTCAGTAAAAATACAAAAATAATACACTTGATGTATTTTTTCTGTACTCTTTTATTTTTTCTGTATTAAATCCTTATCCAAAGTACAAAAATAATACAATTTAGAGAAGAACTAAAAAATACAAAAATAATATAAAATGTATTAATTTTGTATCAGTCTATTATTTCTGTATTATTTGGAGCACCTTGAAAAAAAAAATAGGAAAATAATACAAAATGTATTAATTTTGTATCAGTCTATTATTTCTGTATTATTTGGAGCACATTGAAAAAAAAAAAATAGGAAAATAATACAAAATGTATTAATTTTGTATCAGTCTATTATTTCTGTATTATTTGGAGCACCTTGAAAAAAAAATAGGAAAATAATACAAAATGTATTAATTTTGTATCAGTCTATTATTTCTGTATTATTTGGGGCACCTTGAAAAAAAAAAAATAGGAAAATAATACAAAATGTATTAATTTTGTATCAGTCTATTATTTCTGTATTATTTGGAGCACCTTGAAAAAAAATAGGAAAAAAATACAATATGTATTAATTTTGTATCAGTCTATTATTTCTGTATTAAAATCGCATTTAAACCAAAAAAATCTAAAAATAATACATTCTGAAAAATACAAAAAAAATACATTTAGGAGTTCAAAAAAGGTACAAGAATGATAGACAAAAAGTACATAAAAAAGCAGTGCCTAGAAAAGTACTAAAAACGTGAAAAACTTGTTCTTAAATGCAGCTTTCAATCAAATTTTAAAGAGAAATGGCTTTAGATTACTGATTTAGTTACTTTTTGTGCAATAATCTTGATCTTTTCTGTCTTACATACAGTATTCACTCTTCAATTGTCCTCATTTCCAGTGATTGGGAAGGGCTTGCGCCATGCGACATAGTCGCATTGAAGTGAAAAATGGCGCATTAAATCAATCAATCATGGCGCCAAGGTGCACATTCAATTTTTTGCGATGTTATTTGGAAATATTTTGCATACAACTTTCTTTCTTGTTTTACTTTCGTTTGAAATGCAGTCAATCTCATTCAATAATGGTTGAAACCTGTCAAAAAGTACTTCCGGTTGTACAAAGCGATACTTCATTCATTTGTATGGTAGGGCTGTTCCCTTTCCAAAACTATCGTAATTTTAAAACAAAATACGGGTCAGTTATATTCTAAGCAAGTTCCTTTAAATTTGCTGCGTTTCATGCATTAAAAATCGGATTCGGTTAATAAAAATCATGTTTTCTCTCGTATTTCATATTTGTTTGTCACTTTGTTATTTCTTGAAATGGCCCTTCAGATTATATTGATGGCCCATTCATTTTCGAAATGGCCCATCGAAAATATTGACAGTTGCGCCATAGTCCCATTGACCATTTTGGTCTTCCCAATCACTGCATTTCTAAGTCATGTTTTATCAATCTTATTGTCTTTGTAAATTGTACATTTATAATGAGATATGAATTCAAAAGTCTAGATCTTCTCTCTGCTTTGGGGTTTCTTTTGCACAGCACTTTACATCTCCAGTTTTCTCACTGTCATCCTGCTAAGTCCTGCATAATCTACAAAATAGAATATCAAAATGTACCGGGGTATATCAAAATTAGATGCACAGACACACACAAAAAGAAATCTTCACATGATTAGCTGATATTGTCAATGTTACACACCTGTAATGCTTCAAGGGGTAGGGTGGGAGGGTGGGTGGGTGTCCTATTTCTCTATAACTAATCAGCTTTTCTTCTATGGCTCTGCAGAGGCACTCAAACTGTAAAAGTAATGATACTGATAAATGTTTTGCAGAACAGGTAGAAATACAGAGCATTAAAAAATGAAAATATAAAACTGTCAATACACCTCATTGGAATTTTTCATGGCAAAATATTCTACAAATTGAGCCTTTATCCCCCCCCCCCCCCCTTTTATTGGGGGGGGATCATTTGATTTGAAATCTTAAGATGATATTGGGCAAGGGAAATACAGATCATCATATATTGATATAAAAAATAATTAGTTTAATTGTGCCAAAATAAAAAATTAAAAAATCTTTCTTACCACCTTCTTCTCAAGTCATTTTTGAAATAAATTATAAGTATGCTAAACCATAAATCCATGAAGCTTAGTTGCAATGATTACCCCCCCCCCCCCCCCCCTTCACATTTCAAAATTTAAATGGTTGTATGCCAAGATGATTTTATCTGTTATTATTCCATGTTTAGGCCTGAGGGATAGGGTGAAAATAATTTTTAAGTCATTATTGGTCCATGTAAATAATATCATTTGCCATTGAAAGCCCGTAATTATCCATACAATTCAAGATAGAAAGTAGCATAACAAAACTCTCTTTCGCCACAAATCCAATATATCTGCATTTAATTTGACCTACTATGAATTGGTTATAAAAGATAACATTTAATAATCTACATTTCACATTTTAAAAATTGAAACTACTGTGCTATTTTATGTAAATTCTTACCACATATGGCGTTGTTTACACCAGGAAAGCCATTGCATGATGCTTGAAAAACGCCAACCTCCTTCCGTTTTCGCTTTTCTTTGTTTATAAATGTGATCCATGCTAACATGCTGTAGCTAAACATCTATTTTCTACCAATTTCATCGGCGAATATTAGCTAAATTTTATAAAACATCACCAACTCTCTCAATTCGGTTCGTCGATCTATTTTTCAAAATGGCGTGGGTAAATTACCGTTAACCGATCAGAGAAAAGCAAAGAAAAATTTTAAAATCTGACCAATCAAGTAGCTCCTTATTTACGAAGATTGCCGATTTTTAAATATAAAATATTTTTAACAGTGTAAGGAAATGTATTTATGTACGAAGTCTAATAAGTAATATGGAATCAATTTAATAAACCCTTGATCATTACTACAATAATTATTAGGAATCATTTCTTATAATGGTTATTTTTGTTTTTAAGAAATTTTCAGATTACAGATGAGAAAGATTTCTGGTCAGCCATATTGTTTTGTTTTTGTTTTTTTTAATTATACAAGTTGACCTGTAAAATAGACCATAAAGTTCAAAAAGAAGGATCAATTTAGTGTTAAATCTAAAGCAAAATAGCAAGGCACAGAGCCATGCCCCCTTTTCTCGGCGCCATGTCCTTTTTCCTAACAAAAAATTAATAAATATTCCCAGTGTAGGCAATATTCCTTAGCTGTTCTGTTTATTCAGTGCATACTGATAATCTCTTGTTTACATAACGCAACCAAGTGTGAATTCACGACAGGAAATCACTTCACGCTTGACCGCAAGCACACAGCCACCTGGCTTATTAACATGCCTCAGGGATGTGTTCCCATTTCGCCTTAACTGTGAAATTCAGGTAAGAAAAAGTAAAAAAGTACTAAGGCGAAATGGGAATCTTAATATTTGTAAATATTATTATAATTTGAATTTTAAAAATTGAATAAGATTGAATTTAACAGTTAATTGGAATTTATTAATACAGTGAATGAAAAAATACATTTAACACCAAGTATTTTTTTTAAAAATACTTTATGCTAAATATTTTTAATCTTCATCACCTTAATTCTCCTGATAGCTTACTAAGGCGAAATGGGAATACGAAATTTTACAGTTAAGGCGAGATGGGAACAAACCGCCTCAGGCTATCAGGGTAGAAGATTTAACTTGAGAAACTGTCATTTGATTGCATTGATTATGCAAGAATCAGCCCAAGATCAAAGATAATTAACTTGTAAATTATTAACTAATTAAAATCAGGATCGTTTTTTTTAAACTGAGAGTAGAATTAAACACAGAGTTGAAGAAAAACTGATATTTTATCTGAATAAAAACAACTTACATTGTACCAAAAACTGAATGTGATGTGACAAAAGGCTAAAAAA